AATTAAGTCTACTTTCACTAGATGTATCATTGTAGGATCCTGCTAGTTTAATAACTGAGTTGTTAATTTTCTATAGAAGCCATTTAAAATAGGAAATGGCTCAGTTACTGCACCAGATTGCTACAAACTCATAAAAAGCTGCTTGAAGCTTAAGTTAAATGATGTCCAAATTCCAATCACTTCTGGAAAGTGAACATGTTACCCTATTAAAGTAAAATTTTTTTTCATAATGCTAATGCAGGAGGGCTTAAAGTATCAAAGAGTCCACAGGAAATGGATGCCCCCAGTAATATTTTTTTTTAAAAAAAATATACATTATATAATATATATTATATATATAAAAAGCTAGTGTAAATGCTTCCATGGTGTGGTCACAAATTTGAAAGATGAACCTCCTTTCAGCTGTTAACCATCTTCCCATTTGCAACAGGTTTTAAAAAGTCGTTTTTATCTTCAGACATAACATGAGTTTTCAAAATGAGGTTGCCAACACTGACAGATGTGGTGATGGGAAGACAACTTGCTTCGCTCGCAGACACAGGGAGTGACTGACTAAAGCAAGAAGTTACCGGCAGAATTGGTTTTTGCTCCTCCCTGAGAGAAAACAAATAACAGAGAAAACAGATCAGTTTTTAGTGAAAACTGAAGAGTGACCACACATGCTTAATGAAAACTATATCAAACTTTGAGTCCCAAGCAAAAGCATGTCATTTTTATCAGTAAAAAGTACTGACAGTAAAAAAAAGTCCCATTTTTAAACATTACAATAAAAAATTAAAATATTCGCTAGTTTAGGACCAATCAAATTATCAAGTTCACGATTAAGCCCAGGGCCAGGGATTTAGCTCAGTGGTGCTGTGCCTGCCTTGCAAGTGCAAGGTCCTGAGTTCAATCCCCAGTACCAAAAAAAAGAGAGATTAAGCCTATGATTTTTGCTGGTAATTATAAAAAACTCCAATAGTATAGCCAAGAAAATCTTAGTATGATTTTTTTTTTCCATACTGGGGATCGAACTCAAGACCTTGCGCTTGCCAAGCAGCAGTGGTGCTACTGAGCTACATCCCTTGCCCTTCAGTATGATTTTTAAAAGAAAAAACAATTAACCTAGGTTTTAATTCTGTTTTGTGTAGTCTAGGTTTGGCCAAATTGAAGTATAACCTGGTTCTAATGTACATACTCCCGGGTCTGGTGACTCACACCTGTAATCCCAGCACTCAGGAAGCTGAGGCAGGAGGATTGCTGCAAGTTTGAGGCCAGCCAGAGCAAAATAGTGAGTTCAAGCCCATCCTGCACTACACAGCAAAAAAAATAATTAAATAAATAAATAAAATAAATAACCTAAAATAAAGTACATACTAACTTTTATCCCAATCAAAAGCAAGTTTTGGGTTATTAAAATGTACTACTTTGTAAACCAGGCATGGTGGTACATGCTTCTAATCTCATCTACCTGAGAGGCTGAGGATCATAAATTCAAGCTAAATCTGGGCAACTCAGCAAGATCCTGTCCCAAAATAAAATTTAAAAAAGAGATGGGATGTAGCTTAAAGGTAGAGTGCTTGCTTAGCATGCAAAAAGCCCTGGGGATTTTTACTGGCTAAATCACTGCCCTAGTACAAAAGGCTTTTCGTCTCACAGAATAAAGTAAAAAATGAATCTAATACTTAAATATTCATGCCCTATTCCCACTGGTTATGAATTTTCTGTCTAACACTCACAGAATCACATGGTCTTCACCTAAACTCTGTCTCTTTTGTTTTACTGGCTCTTTCTGATGTTGTTGAACTGGATGCCCATTTTCCACTGTGGTTCCATTCAGCAACTGGTCGTTTTGAGCACTAATACCAAGTTGTATGTCCAAGATCTCCTAAAAGAATACAACGTTCATCTTTGAGTATGAAAGTATTTTATACCATTTACTTTTCAATGGAACAAAGCCTCCTACTTATCTAATTGTGGGACTTACTTCAATTTGTTCGCTTTGTCCATCAGGTTCATCAGTATCAAGTGCTGAAAGCTCTAACTCGATATCTCTATCAGGCTTAGTATCTGCTGCATCTTCTGTATAATCACTCTGTAAATAAGAAAAAAATTGATTTTGTATTTGCAGAACTTCGGGCTTCCCTTTTAAATTAAAACAAGAATCTCAAAGATTTAACTAAAGAATTAGTTAGAAATCCTGAGACTATATTATTATGCTACTGTAAGCCAGGCATAGTGGCACATGTCTGTAATCCCAGCACTTGGGAAGCCAGGCAGGAGGATCTCAATGAGTGTGAGGCTAGCCTGGACTATATAGTGAGCTTAAGGCCACTCTGAACTACATAGCAAGACCCTGTCTCAAAAAACAAAACAAAACAACTATTGTGCCACTGAAAATTTAAAAAGTAATCAATCATCCATCAGAAAAAGGCACATCAAAATGTACTAATTAATGGTATAAATGGACATGCACCAGCAGAAAGCAAACACATTAAGCATGGAGCTAGGGGTTCAGTATCTTTACCTCTCCATTTCTCAGTTCAATTTCCTTACTTAGAAGATTTAAGGTAAGGTGACGGCCTTCATCCAGGGAATTCCACTTCTGTTGCATGGCTAGAGCATTTGCTTCCCTCTGTAGAAGTAATGAGTTACTCTTGGCCTACCACAAGAGAGGAAAACAAGTATACTTAGCTTCCAACCATAGCTTTCAACTGCCATTCTATTTTTTAAAAAATTAAAGCTGAGTTACATCAAGCCCACCTGCTGAAGTTCAATGCTTAAAAGGTCTCCAGTACTGGAATGCTTTCTATGACCAGATAGATCAGTAACAATGAATCTGTCCCTTTAAAGAGAAATATGTTTATTGTAATAAAAATGAAATAAATGAAGTAAATAAAGCAGTAATGACTGTATATAAACATCAACCCTGAAAATTTCAGTCATCACTCCAAATGGAAAAATTTTTTTCAGACATTTGTTACATAGCTCAAAATATATTTCGTGGACAAAAGAATAATTTTTGTATTCTGAGGATGCATACAAGTCTGAGAGTAGAGAATACTACAGAATCAAGAATAACATTACCTTTCAATATAGTGTGCTGATGATGTGGCCTCGTTGCCATATGAACTCCACCTTGAATCAACAGCATTGACATAAGGGACATAATCTACAGATAAACAAAAAGATTATTATGAAAGTGAAATATGAGTATATAGAAGTGAATATATACTTTTTTAAAAAATTGTGTATCTGATCCCACTAGCCATGTGATCAAATTACACTATGTAATTCTGCGTCTACTATGATCATTAAATGGAGGGGAATGTTTCCTATCTCATAGGCTAAAGAATAAAAAGCACAATAAATATTAGGTAAAATGAAGTACCTGATACACTGATGGGCTTAGTCGCACTTCCTTGGGAAGCAGTGGCCTGGACAGGATCCGTAGTGTGGTAGCCTGTACGAGAAGATCGGGAAATTGCACCCCATTTTGAGATGATAGGTCCATCGCTAAATGGAATTATTGGGTCTTCTTCTTTTGTCCTTCTTTGAGTTTCAAATAAATGCACTCTTCTCTTAACATCTCCACTGTCCAGGTCCTGCATAAACCAAAAGATATCAATAAAAGTACTGCTGGCAATTATTTGAGCTAGTAATACATGTACATGTTATCAAAAGACATGTTAAGGGTGCAGTGGTGCATGCCATTAATCCCAGCACTCTGGGAGGCTCAGGCAGGAGGATCTCAAGTTCAAGCCCAGTCTGGGCAACATGGCAAGACCCTGTTTCAACAAACAAACAAACAAACAAACAAAAACAAACATCATAAAAAGGGCCAGTATGTAGCTCAGTGTCAAGACCCTGGATTCAATTCATCAAAAAAAGAAAATGACATATAAATAGATTCTTCTGGTAAATTTAACACTGGCTCTGTATCTCAAAACAGAAACCATCAAACTATGCTCAAATACTTTAAACATTAAATGCAATTTATTTCAGACTTCTCAAAATATAACACCTACTTACAGGTAAGTGGTACAGCAACAATAAGAAGATGAAAGCATTCATTCTAAAATGTCAATATGCATAATTTCCCCCACTCCCAACTCTTCTACGCCAGTAAAACCATACCATTAACACAGCATTTGAATTAGCGATTACATCTTTGGGCTCTGAATCGATGGCATTTATGCAGGAGCCTATAGTGCCACAAGACCAGGGAGAATAATGGGAAAGATGATCTTCTTCAAATTTTGTACCACTCACACTCTCAGAGAACTGATAAAAAAAAAAAAAAAGGCAATTACTATGAAACAAATTTACAACCTTGTAACTAATACAAAGTAACTGAAAAGAATGTATATTCTCTTAATACTATAAGCAACAAATAGTATTTCTACAAAAAATAGCACGCTGCCTCTTTTCACCTTGTCCTTTAAACCTCATAAGGAACTCCTGACTTATACAATCAAAACCAATCAACAAGTATAACATGCTGCTAACATGGCACAGGTGAACCTTGGTTCACAAACTTAATTCTTTTCAGGATTCTGGTCACAAACCCAATTGGACGAGAACCGAATCAAATTTCTCCATAAGGTCAACACTGAACCAAACCACTGAATTTGATTTGGTTCCCATCCAATTCAGTTTGTGATCAGAATTGTGGAAAGGATTAAGTTCATGAACCGAGGTACCACTGTACTAGGGTGCTCTAAAAAAGGAAAAAAGCAAAAGAAAAACATACAGTACACATAGAGATCATGGCCTAAAAGAGCTTATGATTTTCTTGAGAAAAAAAAAAATAAGGGAACATAAGTGATAAAATATGCAGTATTAAACAGAGAACAAAAAGAATTCAAAGTTGGTTCTGAAGCAAGAAAGGAAAGTGAATTAAATTTTAAAGGGATTACATGGAATACTATGTGGCCAGAATATAAAGTTGTGAGGGTTGGGGATTTAGCTCAGTGGTTTCGCCGCCTGCTGCGCAAGTGTAAGGACCTGAGTTCAATCCCCAATACCAAAAAAAAGAATATAAAGTTGTGAGAATCATTAAATATGGTTAAAATTCAAGGCCAGAATTGTTCCAATTCATATTGCTAGGTGATAGCAAATGTGAATCTCAGGGAAACACTCATTTCCAGAAGGACAGCATAGAACAATAAAAATAAACTTTTCTATTAAACAAGTGGCAGTTGTCATTCTGCCAGGATGTTTACCTGCTTTGAAGAAGTTTGGGGAGATGAATCTGAATCTACTTTACAAATTTAATACTTTGCTGAAATATTTATGGATGAAAAAATATAATATATATGATTTAAAATTAATCTAGTGGGAAGAAGGAATATGAAATGAAACAAGTCTGGCCAAGTGAAAACTGGACAATGGGTACTGGTGGGTACACAAAGTTTATTATATTATTCTTCTACATTTGTAAATGTTTGAATTTTGTCATAATTAAAAGATTAAAACTTTTAAATTTCAGACCCTCTGGGGAATAAACTAGGGTAAATGTAAAAAATAAATGATTTTTCTCTAAATATAACAGTATTAGCTGGGCATAGGGGCACATGCCTATAACCCCAACATTCAGAAGGCTGAGGCAGAAGGATTATGACTTTGAAGCCAGCCTGGGCTACATGGCAAGACCCTGTCTCAAAAAATCCAAGCCAAACCCAAACCAAACATAAACAGTACTAAAAACATCTGGCTAAATTGACATCACCCTGGCACAAAAATTTGTTTTGTATTCCCAAGAACAATACTTAACATGATGTAAATAGCAAAAGTAACACAGTAGGCATTTGTGCACCTCTTGTGATGTGATTCTGCACCTCTTGGGAAAAAATGTCTCAGACAGACTAGGGTTCAAATCCTAGCTACTTGCAGACTGAAAGGTCTGGGGAAAATTACTAAAATTCTCTCAGTAGAATTCCTAATCTATAAAATATGAATAATATCTACCCTGGAAGGTTTTTGTGAGACTTAAATAAAACAGCATTATGTAAAAGCTGAGCACAATGCCTGGCATGAGTATTTAATAAATGGTAGATATAAATCTTAATTTTTTGTGGTGATGGGGATTGAGCCAAGGGCTTTGCACACGCTAAGGATGCAACAATTGAGGTTCAGGGTGTAACACACAGGGTACAGCGTATATACTTATGATCATGCAAGACTGTGGCTATCAAACCTTTGACAGCCTGCCCCAAACAACAACAGCAACAACAAAAAAAACAGCACTATAAAAATGGCAAATATACAGCTGAAAAGATTTGAAATTCTTGGGAAAAGACTCCTTTAATGGTCTTCCTAATCTTATAATACCTAGCCAGAGTGAACTAAATCCTACTATACACCAAATCACTGCAAAATATCCAGAATATCTAACCCTGGTTTGAATGAATAATTTGAGTTCAGCTGTTTGAACTATTCCTGCACATCAAGTGATTAAAACCTTTCTTACATCTGTACGGAAGTCTACACTGAATAGAGGAGAAGGTGGTGTTGGAGACTGTGTTGCCACAGGAAGAGTAGAAGAGACAGGTGCTTTCTGAGTGT